GTCCTGCCTTGACCTGTCCCGTCCCGTCCTGCCTTGACCTGTCCTGCCCTGTCCTGCCTTACACTATATCAAGGTTGATGTATCATATACTGTACACAATGACATACTGTACTACCAACACATTATTGGCCTGGATGTCACTTCAGACAGAGTTGAATATCATAGTTTGCCAGAATGAACAGAAGAAAAGTTTATGTCAAACGTTTCAAATTTTACCCCAAAATATGCATGTATCATGATAAAAAGCTAAACAAATGATGAAAGGCAAAGTGATGGGGGAAATCCAAGTGGAAAGGATCCAAGTGGATTGAATATAAAAGGCGTTCATTTCATGCAAGGAGTTCATTGTAACCGGACACCTGTGCTGTAGCTAACTGCTCTGAGAGCTGGGAAGTGAAGAGGGCCGATAACTGAGTGTCAGTCGCTGCCCTGTCTCCTGGGCGAGTGCACATCCTTCTGGGACACTGAGCAAGGGGAGTGGATTTGAACTACAGAGATCTTGATAAGGTACGATTGAATGATGATCATATATTCTATTCTACTTTTGACATTTTTGCAAACGTTTAGACACATTTTCATTTTCCCTATCCCTGCTAGTAAACATGGGTATCCTACTGGTCCTGGTTCTTCTGCAGTTACTGGCTGCACCAACATTTCCTGTGAGTGATACTTATTTGATTTGATGTATTGTTTGGGTTTTTAAAAAAACATGCTGGTGAATAATGATGAGTGAGAAAGTTACAGACGCACAAATATCATACCCCCCAAAAAAATGCTAACCTCCCCTGTTATTGTATTTTATCATCATGAATTTTTTTACGACCTTTTTGCCCATAGCACAAGGTAATACTGAACGCATTATTAAGAAACGCTATCTTACCTCTGAAGTTACTACAGATTTTATTGAGTGTATGAACAATACTCCGTCACCTATTCTGCCTTCCTCTTGTGATGATTTAGTTGATAACTTTAATAGCAAATTAAGGGCAACCGTTGATGCCATAGCTCCAGTACAGCTGAAAAAGGCCACATCCAAAAGGAGAGCCCCTTGGATGAGTGAGGAAACTAATCCATTAAAGAGACGTTGCAGAAAGGCAGAGCGGAAGTGGAGAAAGTCAAAGATGCAGGTCCATTATGATATTCTGAGAGAGCAACTTGGCATATATAACAAGGCAATTAGAAATGCCAGACAGACTCATTTTTCTAACCTGCCGGGCGGCAGGTAGCTTAGTGGTTAAGAGCGTTGTGCCAGTAACCGAAAGGTCGCTGGTTCTAATCCCCGAGCCGACTAGGTGAAAAACCTGTCGATGTGCCCTTGAGCAAGGCACTTAACCCTAATTGCTCCTGTATATCGCTCTGGATAAGAGCGTCTGCTAAATGACCTATTTATTAATCCGAATAATTAGAGAGTGCTCTTCTCGACAATTGATAGCCTGATAAATCCTACCCCCGCAAACCTATGTGAACTTTCCTCCACATCTAAATGTGATGAGTTTGAGGCATATTTCAGAGATAAGATAACCAACATTAGGCTGGAAATCAGTCAAGCAAGACCTGATGAGAAGTTTGATGATATGTGCCCTAGCCTACCACGCAAAGGCACTGTGGATGTATTTTCCCTGGTTGACACAGACATGCTCAGGAAAGTGATATCACAACTTAAGCCTTCTACCTGCCTTCTCGATCCTATCCCCACCACCTTCTTCAAAACAGTTTTTAATTGCATATCTGAAGAAGTGAAAGCTATTGTTAATCACTCCCTGTTCACAGGCACTTTCCCCACTGCACAAAAATAGCTATGGTGAAACCCCTTCTGAAGAAAGTAATCTAGATTCTTCAGCTCTTAGCAATTTTCAGCCAATCTCTAACCTTCCATTCTTAAGCAAAATTCTGGAGAAATTGGTGTTTCAAACAGCTAAATTATTTTTAAGTGCCAACTGTATTTTTGAAAAATTCCAATCTGGTTTCCGTGCCCAGCACAGAGACAGCCTTAGTTAAAGTGATAAATGATCTTAGAGCCAACACAGATGCCAAACAGATCTCTGTCCTTGTACTCTTAGATTTAAGTGCACTGGTGACCATGATGTCCTTCTGGACAGACTGGAGAGGTGGGTTGACCTCTCCGGTCCAGTTCTAAATTGGTTTAGGACCTATTTAACCGGTCAAGAGTTTTTTGTCACCCTTGGTGAACATAACTCAGAGAAAATACATATCACATGTGGCGTTCCACATGGTTAAATTTTGGGTCCGGTACTGTTCAGTTTATATATTTTACCCCTTGGCAGCGTTATCAGAAAGCACTGCATTGATTTTTACTGCTACGCAGACGATACACAACTTTACATTTCCGTGTCACCAGAGGATTTTTAGCTCCACGGATAAATTATTAGACTGTATTAGTGATTTAAACACTTGGATGGCTCACAACTACCTCCAGATAAATCAAGACAAGACCGAGGTAATTATTGTTGGAGCCAAAACACAGAGAGAGAATCTAGGCCGCACATTTTAATTCACAGATAATAAAGATAAAACAGCAGGTAAAAAACCGAGGTGTTATTTTTGATTCTGAACTCAATTTTGAATCACACATTAGGAATGTGACCAAAATCGTTTTTTACTACCTGAGGAACATTGCCAAGGTGCGGCCATTTCTCTCTCAGGCTGATACAGAGAGACTCATCCAAGTTTTTATTACATGCAGGCTTGACTACTGTAATGCTCTCCTGTCTGGTCTACCCAAGAAAGTAATTGGTCAACTGCAAAACATACAGAATGATGCCACACGGGTACTGACCAAGACCAGACGGAGAGCACACATTACACCGGTTTTAAGGTCTCTGCACTGGCTGCCTGTGAGTTTTAGAATTAATGTTACGATTCTTCTATTGTTTTTTAAATCAATCCAGGATTGTGCACCGCAATACATATCAGACATGCTTTTAAATTATGTACCCAGTAGGTCCCTCAGGTCCTAAGGCACTGGCCTTTGAACTATCCCAAAGCCTTGGACCAAGAGGCATGGAGAGACAGCCTTTAGTTATTATGCCCCCAGCCTCTGGAATAGCCTGCCAGAGAATCTGAGGGGAGCTGAAACTGTGGACATATTTAAAAGAGATCTTAAAACACATCTTTAAGCTTTTTTTTCTTCCTTAAGGTGCTTTTTAGTTGTTCAGTTTGTGTCATTCTTTTGTTTTTTAACTTATGTTTGTTGTGTAGTAAATATTTCAGCTTTTATTTTCATTGTTTTTTATTACTTATTTCCTGTAAATCACATTGCGTTGCATTCCATGTCTGAAATGTGCTGTATAAATAAAGCTTGATTTCATTTGATTTGATGGTGAGAGGTTAGCATGTCTTGGGGGTATGATCTTTGTGCGTCTGTAACTTCTTCATTCATCATTATTCACGATTTATTCAGGATTATCCGTAATCATGGTAGCATTTACATGAATGTAGATGTCTTTAGAAACATACTATATTCTTATTTACAATAAAACTGACTCCAAAATGACACAATAGATTATTTACCAATCATTTCTATTGGGCACTAAATAATCTGAAACAACCAAAACAAACAGCAAATGCATCCAACAAGTTTGTAGAGTCACAAGCTTGATGTAATCATTGCGTGCCAGGAATATGGGACAAAGTACTTAACTTTTTACTATACTGAACAAAAGTATAAACGCAACAAATAAAGTGTTGGCCCATGTTTCATGAGCTGAAATAAAAGATCCCAGAAATGTTCCATATGAACAAAAAGCTTATTTCTCTCAAATGTTGTGCACAAATTTGTTTACGTCCCTGTTAGTGAGCATTTCTCCTTTGCCAAGATAATCAATCTACCTTACAGGTGTGGCATATCAAGAAGCTGATTAAACAGCATGATCATTACAAAGGTCCACCTTGTGCTGGGGACAATAAAAGGCCACTCTAAAATGTGCAGTTTTGTCACACAACACAATGCCACATATGTCTCAAGTTTTGAGGGAGCGTGCAATTGGCATGCTGACTGCAGGAATGTCCACCAGAGCTGTTGCCAGAGAATGGAATGTTAATTTCTCTACCATAAGCCGCCTCCAACGTCGTTTTAGAGAATTTGGCAGTACATCCAACTGGCCTCACAACCGCAAACCACGTGTAACCATGCCAACCCAGGACCTCCACATCCGGCTTCTTCACCTACGGGATCGTCTGAGACTAGCCACCTGGACAGCTGATGAAACTGAGTATTTCTGTCTGTAATAAAGCCCTTTTGTGGGGAAAAACTCATTCTGATTGGCTGGGCCTGGCTCCCCAGTGGGTGGGACAACCCATGGCTGTGACCCTGCCCAGTCATGTGAAATCCATAGATTAGGGCATAATGAATTTATTTCAATTGACTGATTTCCTTATATGAACTGTGTAACTCAGTAAAATCTTTGAAATTGTTACATGTTGCGTTTATATTTTTGTTCAGTATACTTTACTACACATAAGTGAATTTGTTCCAATACTTTTGGTCCCTTAAAATTGGGGGACTATGTACAAAAAGTGCTGTACGTTTGAAACAGTTCACCCGATATGGATGAAAATACCCTAAAATTAACCTCATGGTCATTGTAACATTTCAAATCCAAAGTGCTGGAGGACAGAGCCAAAACCACAATTCATGTGTCACTGTCCCAATACTTTTGGAGCTCACTGTATATCAGTGTTGTACAAAGCAAATGTTCAATGAGGTCCTCAATGGAAGACAAAGAAAACAAAACAAAACAAAACAGGAATTACATATGATAATCTAATACTACTACATGATACAACAACATGTACATAAAACAGCAATAATACAACACAACTCATGTCATTACACATTACAGGCACACATAGTCATATATAGTTTCCATACTGGTATGTAAAATGTTTGTGTAATGATATGGAATTGTTTGTGGTGATAGGATGTTTTCCACTTGCTATTCTGGTGTATACTTACTAAGTACTGTGTTTACAGTCGGGTTATGGTGTTTGGTGTGCTCACTGCTGTTGTGTTCCAGCTAACGGCTCCAAGCAATGACTACTGGGGGGAATACGGGGCCTATGGGCCGTGCAGTCGACCCTGTGGCACTGGAGTAGCCATGAGGACAAGGGCAATGTATCACTGCAAGGTAAGAGAGAGAGAGAGAGAGAGAGAGAGAGAGAGAGAGAGAGAGAGAGAATAGATAGGAGAGAGCGAGAAGAGCGCGAGAGATAGAGAGAGCAGAGCGAGCTATAGAGATAGATCTATCCGAGAGCGACCCTAGAGGCGATAGATTGCGCGATGAGTAGTTTGCCGGCTCTCCATATGCGATTTTGGTTATCGGTTTCCTTGAGCGGAGCGGTATGAGTTTTTTTTCTTCATTATCTCTCTCGTTGTCTCGAATGTAGTGGTATCTCTACTATGTTTTCTCTCTTACTCTCTGTTTTCGTCTTTTTTGGTCTGTGTGTTCGTTGCTTCTCTGCAGTCTGCTTGTTTCGGCTCTTTATTTGTCTCGGTCGTTTTCGCCGAGCGTCTCTCTGTTTCACGCTGCTCTTGTGTTGTTGTCCTTGACGCAGCGCGTTGGTCCCTCCGGTAGTTCTGGCGCGTGCGGCGTGTGCGGGAGTGCTTTGGCGATAGGGTTTTGAGTGTGAAAGGATCTTTGAGTAGAATTCAGGCTCGTTTTGCTGCTGGCGATCGGCTCGTTCGTGGCGCGTTCTCCTTGTGAGCTCTTCATCGGAGCCTGTCCTCTCAGTTGCGGGCGGTTTTTTTTTTGTTGCGGGCTTCTTGCATCGCGTTTGCTCACGCCTCCTCCTCCTTTGCTACTACGCCCTCGTCTTTTCTGACGTTGATGTTTGACGTCTTCGATTGCCCCCCCGCGTGCGTCGTCGCCGACCGCTCGCCGTTTGCGCCGCCCCGCAGAGAGTGTGCGCGGCTTGTCCTTTCTGACACTCCTTCTCTTTGACTTGCAGGACAGACGGAGGAAACAACTGCGTGGGATCTTCAAAATCTTACCGCACCTGTAACACGCAGGTACACGCACACACACACACACACACACACACACGCACACACACAATCCCCCCCCCCCCCCCCCCCCATGAAAACACTAACAGACTGAGATTGTCTGTAATTGCTCCATGCAGGCATGTCCAGTGGGTTCCAGGGATATCCGTGAGGAGCAGTGTGCCCAGTTTGATAGGATGGACTTCCAGAGCAAACGCTACACCTGGCTGCCATACCATGGAGGTAAAATAGGGATTATATGCAAATAATAACGTTTAATATTTCACTGTGAATTATTACCCATATCCACATTATACATACATGAAGAATGACTCACGTTTGCCGTTTACCTGTGAAGCGTCTAACCCATGTGAGCTGAACTGCGTCCCCCGTGGAGAGAACTTCTTCTACAGACACAGGCCTGCCGTGGTGGACGGGACACCCTGCAATGTGGGCCGCAGTGACATCTGTATCGAAGGCATCTGCAGGGTATAGTACTTACCTTATGTCCTTCTTTTCATACAACACTTAATAGTTCAACATGCCACACACACACACACACACACACACTCATATTGTCTTAATCTCTCTTCTTATCTGATGTCTAGGCGGTGAGCAACGGAGAGATCCTAGGCATGGACCGTGACGTGGTGCCCGCCCCTCCCGCTCCCGCCACCAACCTCCGCCACCGAGAGTCCCTCACGTACGCCTACACATACAGCGCCTGGTCCGAGTGCTCAGCCCCCTGCAACGGAGGCACACAGCACCGCAGTGTACAGTGCATGGTCCAGGACTCGACGGCACCCCACGTGGTGGACGACTCTTACTGCATCTCCCAGGGACTACCCAGGCCGGCCAGCCAGCAGGCCTGCAACCAGCAGCAGTGTGCCGAGTACAGTGTTTCCAGCTACAGTGGGGTGGGTACCGGTATAGCCAGCATAGAGTCGATGTTAGCAGTATGAAGACAGAGGGTAGATTAGGGGAGTGTTTCCCAAACTTCTCCTTCAGTCCCCCCGAGCCATTCCACTTATTTGAGCCATTCCAGTACTGGCACACCTGACTCAACACATCAGGGCTTGATGATTAGTTGACCAGTTGAATAAGGTGTGCTTGCACTGGACTAGATCCAATAAGTAGACAGGCTCTCAAAGGGAGGTTCTGGAAACACTGGAGTAGAGGCTGGTTGTGGAAGAGGGGCTGTCAACAAGATGTGTCTGTCAGAACATAACATCATGTTCAACATACTGTCTCCCTCCCTCCCTCCCTCTCTTCATAGCAGCGAGGTGTAAACTATTGTACTAAACAACTACAGTGTCACACAGAATGATTCCCTAACGATATGTCCAATGTCCAGTGCTCAGTGACCTGTGGTGATGGCCAGCAGACCAGGGAGGTGTTCTGTGTGGGGGCGGGAGGAGAGCACCTTGGGGAGCAGGCCTGCAGTGGTCTGACACGTCCACCCACAGTCCAGGCCTGCCACAATCTACCCTGTCATACCCACATCAGCTGGCACGTCAATGACTTCGGACTGGTGAGAGAGAAAACCTTTTTTTATGTTATTGGGTCAAAATCATACATTACAAAAACACTTTAAACGACATACATAAACAATGAGAGAGAGAGTGAGAGAGATACTTTCGACATTAGACTACAGTACACCCTTATGTATCCTCTCATCTTTCCCTACTTTTGTGTCACTTTGTCCCTCTCTATCCTTCTATCATTCTCGCTCTCTCTCCCTCTTTCTCTCTCTCTCTCTCTGTTTCTCTTTCTCTTTCTCTCTCTCTGTTTTCTCTCTCTCTGTTTCTCTCTCTCTCTCTCTCTCTCTCTCTCTGTCCCTATAGTGCTCTAAGAAGTGTGGTGGAGGGGTGCGTGAGAGAAGGGTGGTGTGTATGGACATAGAGCAGAACCCACATGGGGAGGACAGATGCGCCCCCCACCCAAGACCCCCCACCGTGGAGCACTGTAACACCCAGGCCTGCCATGAAGCCCAGAGTGAGTCCAATCCCTGTGTGTGTGTGTCTGCATGTGTGTTTGTGTGTGTGTGTGTGTGTGTGTGTGTGTGTGTGTGTGTGTGTGGTGTGTGTGTGTGTGTGTGTGTGTGTGTGTGTGTGTGTGTGTGTGTGTGTGTGTGTGTGTGTGTGTGTGTGTGTGTGTGTGTGTGTGTGTGTTTCTACTCATGCCTGTCCCTCTCTTTATAGGTGTACCAAGTGTCCAGGACCCAAGAGGACATGATAGAACTCTGAGAGGATTTGTGCCTTATGACCCTTCAGGTGTGTGTGTGTGTATCAGGGAAGTGTTTGTCTCTATGCATGTATGTGTATGAATTTGTGTGTGAAATTATAATCATACATGTGTGTAGACTGTCTTGGGATAATTAAGTAGAGACAGAAATAGCTTACCTTTTATTTATCACTCATTCCTCACTCCAACAAATCAGACTATCTTTCCTCAGGCTAAAGCACACTTCTCGGAAGCCTTGTTCACCCTACAAGCCTTAACACTCCAATCAGTTTTGTTTTTCAAATCCGTTTTGGTCTACAGACTGTCCAAACAGCAAGTTCAGACAGCAGTCATTTTCTGACACGGCTACGCTAGTTGTCATAGTAACAACAGGTGTGTGTACAGTGGTGTAGGCTGATTGGTGGTGGTCAGTGGAGGCTGCTGAGGGGAAGACGGCTCATAATAATATCTGGAACGGCGCAAATGGAATGGCATCAAACACATGGAAACCATGTATTTGATGTATTTGATACCATTCCACAGATTCCGCTCCAGCCATTACCACGAGCCCGTACTCCCCAATGAAGGTGCCACCAGCCTCCTTTGATGGTGGTGCTAAAACACCATTCTGTTATAGTACATACTGCATGTCCCAGTTCTCTACGTCTAGACCAGGTGTATCCAACTCTTACCTACGAGGTCCGGAGCCTGCTGGTTTTCTGTTCTCCCTGATAATTAATTTCACCCACCTGGTGTCCAAGGTCTAAATCGGTCCCTGATGAGAGGGGAACAATGAAAAAACACAGTGGAACTGGCTTCGAGGTCCAGAGTTGAGTTTGAGGGGTCTAGGCAGTGTTGTAATCCATCATAAAATCATAGCTACATATATACAAGACAGGTTCCACTTGCCAAAGTGGTAGACCTATATCTAAATCTGAAAATATACTGTCTAGCTAAACATACCTATGCCACTACTACAGTTCTATGTATTCTTAACATGCTAATTTTTATCCAGTTGGGTGTTTACTTTTTGTATATTTGTATATTTGTATATGTACATTAAGTATACTCTAGAGTTCAGGTGGGCCTTCCCGCTTCACCAAACAAAGGAAAGGAGGGTAGATCAACAACAATGACAAAAAACAAAAGAAGAGCTTACCAAGAAAAACTTCCAAAAGGACTAATTCGAGGTCAAATGGAGTTGGAGCACTCCACAAAAAAAAGGCAGAGATGTATTTATTTTTGCTCACTTTAATCCATTGTACAGGATGTGAACAGATAACTGACGTTTCAACGTCAAGCTGACGTCTTCCTCAGAGTGAAAAAAGAAATCACTCTGCCTTTCTTTGTGGAGTGCTCCCACGCCTTTTTACCTTGAATTAGTCCTTTTGGAAGTTTGTCTTGGTAAGCCATTGTCATTAAGGACAGGCTATGTGTATACATAATGTAAACATGTGACCTTATATGTGCTCTCTTTAGCCACTAACACAGTATACGACCCATACTCCACCGCTGTGGTTGGTCCCCACTGCGCCCAGTCATACTACGGCTGCTGCCCGGATGGCCACACATCCGCTGGTGGGCATAGAGGAGAGGGCTGTCCCACAGATGACTGTGAACGCACCCGGTAAGACCTGGGGTCTGTTCAGTACGGCGCAACGCTACAGAACATTACATAACGTTCAGATAGAGATAGCATTGCACAAGCATTGACAAGCATTTCGCTACACCCGCAATAACATCTGCTAAATATGTGTATGTGACCAATAAAATTAGATTTGATTTGATCACCATAGTGTAGAACACACATGGCACACAGAGGTTGATTGTGACAAAAATGTAAGTTACTTGCAGTCCAACTAGTGACTTTCAACTCGTTGGCCTATATGGATGCCGTCTGTGTCCGTGTTTCTGTCTCAGCTGTCTTTGTGTTTGCCTGTTCATACCAGCTACCTCTTTGTTTGTGATCTGTATCGTACCTGTGTGTGTGTCTGGTTGTCAGGTACGGCTGCTGTCTGGATGGGGTGACTCCTGCTCAGGGTCATGGAAGAGCAGGATGTGCTGATTACCACCCACACATGGTAAGAGCTGCTACCATCCATTATGCCTTACTATACCACCCGTTTGTCTGTCTGTCTGTGTGTCTGCCTGTCTGTCTGTCTGTCTGTCTCTGACTTTCTCTCTCTCTCTCTCTCTCCCCCCCCATCGCTCTCTCTCTCTATCTCTCTGCAGGACCACTCCGCCCCAGCTCATGCTCAGTCCGGCCATATGTGCTCCCTGTCACGTGACGATGGACCCTGTGCCAACTGGACATCCCGCTTCTACTACAACTCAGCCACTGGCAGCTGCACCCAGTTCTGGTACAGCGGTTGCCATGGCAATGCCAACAACTTTGTCTCCAGGGACGTTTGCCAGAGGGAGTGTGGCGGTGCCGTCGTGACACCAAGACAGGCACCCCCACCCGCACGGTCTGGCGTGAGGGTAAGGGCGGGTACAAGGGCGAGAGCATACCGCGCCCGGTCTTAAGAGACACAGTATGAATGTGTTTCAGTGGCACACACACACCGTACAGAGGAAAGGAAAGATATGAAGCAATACCATAAACTACTTAATCTGTGAACAAATGTCATCCAAAATCTGACCTGCACCATTTATCTGTGCTTTCTGTCATTGTTGATATCAATAAACTGAACTGAACAAATCTGTTGAATCATGTTATCCTTCTTCTTGTATCATAATATATTTGTATTAACTTTTTACACTTGAAGAGTGGCCCCGGTTTATCACTGGCGTTAGAAATATCCAGTTGTAAATGGAGACTTTTATTTTGAATAGGTGCTTTTACTTTGAAATAGACAATGGTGGAACAATCTCCCTCACGACGCCAGGACAGCGGAGTCACTCACCACCTTCCGGAGACACTTGAAACCCCACCTCTTTAAGGAATACCTGGGATAGGATAAAGTAATCCTTCTACCCCCCCTTACCCCCCCCCCCAAAAAAAACTATTGTAAAGTGGTTGTCCCACTGGCTATCATAAGGTGAATGCACCGATTTGTAAGTCGCTCTGGATAAGAGCGTCTGCTAAATGAGGAAAATGTAAATGATATTGTCCTTTTCTCAACTTTTTTTTGTGATTGGCATTCCGAGTCTTTTCGGTGAGCCAGCTAACTTGGCTCCGTTCACGTAAAAGAGCCGGCCTATTTGGCTCCTAAACGGCTCTTCGTTCAAAATGCTTAAAAATCGACCTAGAACCAAGGTAGTCTACCATTATGTCATATCGTGGAATGCGCGTTCAAATACATTTGAACCTGGGCAAATTATTACTTCCTTTTTTTTAATCACTGAAAAAATCTACGTGGACCAGATTGACGCGCTCTCCACACTATGTATTGTTTCTGCAGTGAGGATTTACCCTCTATTCCATTCTTTTGTAACTAATCTTCAGAAAAACGTTTTTTTGTTTTGTTCCAAAAGCAGTATTAGCAGTATTCAAATCAGGGAGCCAAATGAAACGGCTCTTTCACCGCTGCGATTCGATTCCCGACGTTCAGCAAAAATATCCGTTCAAAAGAGCCGTTCGCAAACGAACCATCAATACTTCCTTTCCGGTCATTTCTTTCCATACAGCTGCATTTCACGGGGCTAGGAGAGCAGTATAACAGCCATTTAAACGCTGAATCTGTAAGTCTAGTTTTAAAAGCCTAATTGGACACCAGCACAAACATGGTAAGTGTGAATGTTTTTGCTTTTTGTTCGTACAGTGCAGTCTAAACTACATTATTCAATCATTCGGCTCTTGCTGAGCTAGCTAGCTAAAACTGTGGCTAGTTGGCTAGCACTAGCCCGAGCCACAGGGCTCTGGCAGGATCTCGCGACTTCACTAACTATTAGTGAGATGCACATTTGCCTAATGTGCTAAATGCAGTAATTTACACTAATGTTAGCTAGCTTCGTGGATGTATCATACAATAACAGCAACTCCATGCGTTATCGAGACAGTAAGCAAAGCTGATTCGTTAGGAAATGGTTCGTCAGGCCAAATTCCGTCTGCTCAATTCTTATTGGATAAATTGTAACTTTGTGTCTGTATAATAATACCAGTTGAGCAGTGGTAAAGTGTGCAACAATAACAACATTTACTTAATGCAATTGTGGAAGACAATGTCATGGTCGGTGTGTTTGGTTGTTACAGTATAGGCCAAATGTAAGTGTATATGTAACAAACGACTGTTTTTTTCTTCTTCTCTGCTTTACAGTCACACACAATTCTGCTTGTCCAGCCAACTAAGAGACCAGAGGGGCGAACATATGCCGACTACGAGTCAGTCAACGAATGCATGGAAGGTGAGAATCGGTCTACAGACACGGAGTAGTGCAGTTTGAGCCTCAGTGTCTCTGAAGTGGTTGTTCCCAGTAGGGAGAAAAGTTTTTAAATAGGGAGGTATAGGCTACTACCGGAACGGGCAATAAGAAGACATATTTTCATGTTAATTTTTGCTACGGTATGCCCTACTGAACACGACCCTGGTGTAGGCCCTACTTAAAGAACAAAACACACTGTGCCAATGAATGGTTAAAAGAAGCGGCTGGCCTCCTGTCGCCTCTACCAGAACATCGGCCGTCAGTGTGTTAATTTCCCGACGATTTTACATGGTGGCATTCTACAATGACATTCCACAATGTCACCGTTCGTTGTCACCCTTCGTTGTCACCCGCTGCTTTGAACTGTTGGTCGGCGCTGTGTTTTGTCCTTAACTCAGAAGTATTTTCACATGATGTAGCCTAGTTCTATGTCTCACCCTGTGTCCCTCCTGATCCAGGTGTGTGTAAAATGTACGAAGAGCACCTGAAGAGGATGAATCCCAACAGTCCCTCCATCACTTATGACATCAGCCAGCTGTTTGACTTCATTGACGACTTGGCGGACCTCAGCTGTCTAGTGTAAGTAGTGCTGTAGAACATTTAGCAGACGCTCTTATCCAGAGCGACTTACAAATTGGTGCATTCACCTTAGGATAGCCAGTGGGACAACCACATCTGGATCACAGTAAGTACACTTCTTCAAACAAGCAGCTGTGAGCAAAGTCAGTGCAATCAGGGACAACTACATCTCGATCACAATAAGTACATTTCTTTAAACAAGTCAGTGCTAGCAGGTGAAATAAGTCAGGTGTTAGTTTAGACAAAAGACAGTGGTAGTAAAGGGGGGGGTAGAAGGATTACTATTCCAGGTATTCCTTAAAGAGGTAGGGTTTCAAGTGTCTCCGGAAGGTGGTCAGTGACTCCGCTGTTGTGGGGGAGCTTGTTCCACCATTGGGGTGCCAGAGCAGCGAATAGCTTTGACTGGGCTGAGCGGGAACTGTGCTTCCATAGAGGTAGGGGGGCTAGCAGGCCAGAGGTGGATGAACGTAGTGCCCTCGTTTGGGTGTAGGGTCTGATCAGAGCCTGAAGGTAAGGAGGTGCCGTTCCCCTCACAGCTCCGTAGGAAAGCACCATGGTTTTGTAGTAGATGCGAGCTTCAACTGGAAGCCAGTGGAGTGTGCGGCGGAGCGGGGTGATGTGAGAGAACTTGGGAAGGTTCTGGATATGTTGCAGGGGTTTAGAACCTCACCGTTAGAGCCCAGTGGTGTAGCGTTAAATCCACCTTGCGTACCAGAGGTGCTATTGTTATACTGCATGGTTGTATTTATTAGTCGACACTGTAGCGAAACGTTTTGCAATGGAAGAGGAAAAAAACAAGCGTTTCTTATTGGACAAGTTCAGGTAGTCCCTCCCCGTTTCGGCTTGTTTGCTTCCGTTCCTAGTAAATACGACCCTGGTCTATCCTGTCGTTTCACAGCTCTGCCAAGGTTTAGGGGACTAGGGGTCCATTTTGGATTGTGACTAAGAATTGCCTTCTGTATTTCCCCCCCAGTAATAATTAGGTCTGCTAGGCTATTTGACCCCAGGAATATCTGTACCAATTGAGCTTAATATCATGGGAGAACAATCTTATCCTAATCCTATTGTCCCTCCTGTAGCTCAGTTGGTAGAGCATGGCACTTGCAACGCAAGGGTTGTGGGTTTGATTCCCACGGGGGGCCAGTATGAAAAATGTATGCACTCACTAATTGTAAGTTGCTCTGGATAAGAGCGTCTGCTAAATGACTAAAATGTCAAATGTTCATGACATGTCTCTCCTGGGTCGTATTCAAAATGTTTTGCAACAGAAAACGAGCGTTTCTTGTTGGAAGTACAGTATTTCCTCCCAGTTTGTCTGTTTTATTCAGTTTGGCTAATGAATACTAACCTCCTACTCTCCATTCAGGTACCGGGCGGACACTCAGACGTACCAGCCATACAACAAAGACTGGATCAAGGAGAAGATTTACGTGCTGCTGCGGCGTCAGGCCCAACAAGCTGGGAAGTAGAGGCAGGCAGGAAGGGAGGTAGCTAAGAGGTTGCCCCCATTGCATAGATCTAGGGTCAGTTTGCTCTACCCCAATCAGAACCCAAACCACTAGGAGGTAAAAAACTGATTCTGGACCAGTGCATAGGGGCAACTTCATCCTTCATCAGATGGGGGTAGGGGTGGGCCTTGGTTTTATTGGTTGGGGTTATTACTGGGCTGTATAAAGGGAGGGGGACAGTGGCCCTGTTCGAGTACACACAACACAAAGTGCATCCTGCCTTCCTTGAGATAATCACAGATCTAGAAGTGATTGGATAGATGAGAGCAAGGTTATCAACCTATTGCTTTTGCCAATCCAACCAGATCAGATCAATGAGTACTCCAAGGAAGGGAGAAAAGTATATTGAAGGTATTCGAACAGGGACTGTGATCTGGGGGTGGGGAGACATGACAGTGATCTATGGGGTGGGGCTCGGCAGACAAGCCTGTCATTTGTTTGGGTCTATTTGTGGGAGGGGCTAGTTGCTTGGTGAAAATGGTTCTATTGAACAGAAGGAAAATGAGCTAAAAACAGGACAACTATTAAAGTACTATTTTTCTTTCAGTATTTTTTTTTATTTTTGTTGAAGGAAGAGGGATATGAGTGTGACTATTTGCTTTGTTTTTATACCTGTAAGGGAGAGTTGAATTGAAACATGCCACTGAGGGTGACCGATAAGAGTGTGATTTGTTCATTTAAACTGAAATTCAAATGTTTTGATTTAGGGTGAAATTAAAGTGTCAGTAGATTCATCTTCCATATTTGCCCCACTTACTACCGTCATTCTCACTGTGTCTTTTGTAAACCTATTTGGTATTTGCCTGACATCTGATTTCATGTTTTTTAATGTTCTCTGAATACAGGAAATTAACTATTGTTTTCAGATTTTATGTGGAGTGTATTTTACTGAAAGCATATCAATATACTACAGAGTTCATCTATGCTTTTATACTGAGAAGATGAGAACAAGCAGAGTGGAAGAGGCAAAGCTTCTTTATGTAAAGATTATTTATATATAGCTCATCTTTGGTACAAGTGCAATGAAAATTCACAAATGGATTGAATTCTTGACAGAATGAGAGAGGGAACTTATTTGATTTGGTAAAATACCTGAGGATGAAACATGATTCTCCAGGGAAACATGAATCTGAAAAGATTCTTCCAAATAATTTAATATGTAGTAGTTATGATTCCTTATCATTAGCTGGATATTTCTTCATATTTTGTGTTTTGCACCAAGTGATGCTGAGAGGCTCTTCTTGTCTTACATGTTTTGAAACCTGTGTGCTGTTGCTTTAAAATGTGGCGGGCTGCTCGAGATGCAGCCCCACAGAAGCCTGTGACTAAAACTAGCCTGTCACTAGACAGGTTTCCATTGACCCAGGTTTATTCGACAAAAGCAATGTCTCAAATGTGACGTGAAATGGCAGATATAGGAGACATTTTCTAAAAAATTGAAGTTTTTATCCGTTCAACAGGGGTGGATTTATATTTTGGTCAAACTTCATTTATTGCGACAAATGATGGAAAGTGTTTTTCGAATAAGTGATTAATGCTGACTCATTTTGAAGGTACGCGGGGGAACGTGATGTCATCACGTAACTATAAATCGGCACTCCAAGTCAAATGTATTTGTCACATGCACCGAATACAACAGGTGTAGACTTTACCGTGAAATGCTTACTTTGGAGCCCTTTCCCAACCATGCAGAGTTAAAGTGAGAAAGATGTGCTAATAAAAAAAGGAAAGAGTAACACAATAAAATAATGACGAGGCTATATACAAGGAGTGCCGGTACCGAGTCCATGTGCAGGGGTACATGTAGGTAGGGGTAAAAGTGACTAGGCAGCAGCATATGTGAAAGTGTGTGTGTGTTGGGAGTATCAATGTAGTATGTGTAGTGTAGAGTCAGTGCAACAAAAGATAGGGGGTCAATGTAAATGGGGGCGTGCTCGGCCCTCCGTTTCCTGTAGTCCATGATAAGCTCCTTTGTCTTGCTGACGTTGAGGGAGAGGTTGTTGTCCTGGCACCGCACAGCCAGGTCTCTGGCCTTCTCCCTGTAGGCTGTCTCATCGCCGTCAGTGATCAGGTTGTGTCGTCTGCAAACTTAATGATGGGGGTTGTTGGAGTTGTGTGCGGCCATGCAGTCGTGGGTGAACAGGGAGTACAGGAGGGGACTAAGCACGCATCCCTGAGCGGCCCCTGTGTTGAGGGTCAGCGTGGCAGACGTGTTGTTGCCTACCCTTACCACCTGGGGGCCGCTCGTCAGGAAGTCCAGGATCCAGTTGCAGAGGGAGGTGTTTAGTCCCAGGGTCCTAAGCTTAGTGATGAGCTTGGAGGGCACTATGGTGTTGAACGCTGAGTTGTAGTCAATGAACAGCATTCTCATATAGGTGTTCCTTTTGTCCAGGTGGGAAAGGGCAGTGTGGAATGCAGTGGATCTGATGGGGTGGTATGCGAATTGGAGTGGTTGTCTGGGATGAATGTGTTGATGTGACCCATGACCAGCCTTTCTGTTTTTTTTGTAAGAATGATTTTTTTTAAACAATACAAATCAGCCTTTCAAAGCATTTCATGGCTACAGATGTAAGTGCTACGATGCGATGATCATTTAGGCAGGTTATCGTGGCGTTTTCTTGGGCACATGGACTATGGTGATCTGCTTGAGTCAGGGAGAGGTTGAAAATGTAAGTGAAGACACTTGCCGGCTGGTCAGCGCATGCTCTGAGTACGCGTCCTGGTAATCCGTCTGAATGTTAACCTGTTTAAAGTTCTTACTCACATCGGTTACGGAGAGCGTGATCACACAGTCGCCCGGAACAGCTGGATCTCTCATGCATGGTTCAGTGTTGCTTGCCTCGACACGAGCATAAAGGCATGGGTTTCCCTCTGTAATCCATGATAGTTTGCAAGCCCTGCCACATCCGACGAGCGTCAGAGCCGGTGTAGTAGGATTAGATCTTGGTCCTTTATTGATGCTTTGCCTGTTTGATGGTTCGTTGGAGGGCGTAGTGGGATTTCTTATAAGCGTCTGGATTAGTGTCCCGCTCCTTGAAAGCTGCAGCTCTAGCATTTAGCTCAGTGCGGATGTTGCCTGTACCATGGCTTCTGGTTGGGATATGTATTTACGGTCACTGTGGGGATGACGTCATTGATGCACTGATTAATGAAGCCGGTGACTGATGTGGTAAACTCCTCCATGCCATCGGAAGAATTACGGAACATATTCCAGTCTGTGCTAGAGAAACACAGTCCTGCAAATCAAATCAAATTGTATTTGTCACATGCGCCGAATACAACAGGTGTAAACATTACAGTGAAATGCTTACTTACAAGCCCTTAACCAACAATGCAGTTTTAAGAAAGAATACCAAAAAAAATCACACAAAAATACAATATAATGTAGCTTAGCATCCGCTTCATCAAACCACTTCCGTATTGAGCGCATCACTGGTACTTCCTGTTTGAGTTTTTGCTTGTAAGCAGGAATCAGGAGGATAGAGTTATGGTTAGATTTATCAAATGGAGGGCGAGGTAGAGCTTTGTATGCGTTTCTGTGTGCGGAGTAAAGGTGATCTAGAGTTTTTTCGCCTCTAGTTGCACAGGTGACATGCTGGTAGAAATGAGGTAAAACTGATTTCATTTTTCCTGCATTAAAATCACTGTCCATTAGGAGCACCTCCTCTGCGTGAGCGTTTTCTTTTTTGCT